GCAGACAACACACAGGTTACATATGAGTAAATGTGCATACTTTTTGCTGAACTTGTTACATAACTCGCATGACGGCATAGAGGAGTGGGTAAAAACGGATGTGCAGTAGGAGTTGACAAGCAAATCCTGTATTTTTTTTTTTGCTTTAGCAAGCCTAAAGTAAAAAAGATCTCTTCTCTCTGCCATATAACTAAATCTAATTTGGTGAAGATAAACACATGAATACCAAAATGGTCTTGTGTTTTACATGGAAGGCAGCATTATAGCATCTTATTTTGCTCGTTCATGGCAGTGACAGTGACACTGCGATGATAGTTCATTAATTTGGCTCGTTCATCTTCAAAAGTAACAAGATAAGAAAAACTCATTCAATTCTAATTAGCCACAACAAGGGTGACTGCTATTTCTTGGTTAGCAGATCTGAATTATGTCTCTGTGTTACAGTATGGAACCATGGTGTGAGTAGCATTTAAAAGGAGCCGTTCTGAGACATGAGGTGAAGACTTTTTCTACTCTGCAGTGAAGGATGGAAGTACAGTTTTTTAGGTGACGACTTGTCATGATTACAATGATGAATCAGATCCCTCTCCAAAGCGACTAGCAGCGAGCTCAGACTGAGTGTGCAAAAAGCCTCTATATCCATTTCAGCTCCTGAAGCATGATATTATTGTTTACTTTTGACAGCAGCATGTTCAAGACCTCAGAGCACAGGGGGCTGATTTAGTTACGTTTGTTTTATTAGTCATTAAGGGATTTATGAAACAGCTTGGCATCTTAGCAGGCAATCTGTATCCAGAAATTCTGACATTTGTTTTATTTTCTAGGATCCCCACTAGCTCTAGCTGAAGCAGCAGCTATTCCTCCTGGGATCCATTACACAAATCTTTTTTACTGCTCAGCCTTTTTACTGCACCTTTTACTGCACACTGCGAATGTCTCTGTTTGTCGGATACCACAGTTTGCTGGAAAGTGAATTCTGTCCAACTCCACAAAGACTACTTTCACTGTCTCTTCCTCTCATTAAACTACTGGAATTTCTAGTTATCATTTCTAATATAAAGTGATATAATAATCATGATCATAAGTGATACAACTGATTAAGTTCAGTTAACCTAGTAAAACGTTCTGTAAGTGTTTACAAACAATACAACTATAATTTTAAATTACTTTAGTAATGTTATTTGAACAGTTGTTGAACACTTTATAATTTATTGATTTTTTCCAATGATTAATAAACCATTTATAAACCTTGACGATATTGTTAGTAAAACATCTAAAAACAATATGGAACAGAAATGTGTTAGTCGTTATAAACAGATTTATAAACCATCTATAAACATTATTTAGATAATTATTCTAAATAATCTATAGAAATGTTAATAAATGTTGTTCCTGTTTTTCAATCCATCTATCTATGTAATGTTCATAGATGTTCTATAAACAATTCCGTAATGGTTTAGAAATCAATTAGAAACCATAAACACTTATTTCAGTAAAATGCTACAACCATAATCTGTTAATAAATAGTTTATGCGGCTGGGCTCTGTATTTCAGAGCATAGGAAATGCAAAATGATGCAGTGCTGGAAAATATGTTAGAGTTTGCTTCTCCTGATGGAAATCTCATTGCCGTCTTTTCTTAATTACATTTTAACGGTTTAAATATGCATACAATTATAGATCGGAGCCTATTATAACTGGAGTTAACTGAATAGATAAATATAATAGTAAAAATTGTTAAATTTCCTTTCCTCTCCCCTTTTAGTATTCACAATACTCTGCATTACACAAACCTTTCAACTGATAATTACATATGCAGACTAATTGCAGAAGGTTGGGCTCACTGCTATTTAATGTTGATGTATTTATTATACATTATAATAACATGCAATGCAAAATTCAATTAAAAAAGGAATAAGGAGTCAGTACTAGATATGCAATTTTGAGCATTTACTTGCTTTTTGAAAAGCTTGAAATACTGCATTATTGAAGTCAAACTTTGCTTGAACAAATTGCTTCCTAACTAAAATAATGTACCTAATAAGCAAACACAGATGTGACAAGACAGTTTGTGAGCGACACATTTTTGAGGGATTATTTCCTGGGAGGGACCATTAATCCTGAGGCTTTCAGATGCACTTCAAACACAGGAGCTATAATGAGAACGTTTTCTAACCGTGGTTGCAATATTAGGAACATTTTTAACTTGCAAGGGTAAGCATTTACTCTAAAAACAATGTGCATTTACTGACAGATAGGGCTTATATACATGAAAGGGAAACATTACACACATCTCCCAAAGGATCAAATAGGTTTCATTGTGTGTAATCTTATTAAAACAATGGTTGAATTCACTTATTCTGTGGGACTCTTTCAGGAAGGAAAAAGATATTTCCCTCATGATGTGCTGTGACTTCCCAGAGTTTCTCAAGCAGAATCCTCCGAGGGAACATAAGTGCTCTTACCGCCCACTGTACAGCTAGACGAGGAGCCCGAGAGCAACTCCAGCAGATTTATTTTCGGAAGGAAGACTCCATGTTGTTTTTTTCAAACTGAGGTTTGTTAAAAGCTGGTGTACTGCTGTGTTTTTACTGACAAAACTGTGTCTTTTGAGAGGCTGACCTTGTCATTCTATAAAGTCGCCTTTGTGACTTTCTCACTTTTTTCAAATCCTGTACAACCACATTCTTCACACTCTGCAGTTTCAAATGAAGACTTTATTCTAAGGTAATTGGACATGTGTCCTAGAGTCACTCCATATCCTGGTGTGATCTTTCACTTTGTCAACACTTGATTAAATTGATTTTCTTCCATTTGGCAGCAGACATTTTGTTACCAGTGACTAATATGAGCTTGAGCTTCGCTGAAGTGTTATTGTAGGCAGCAGCCATCATACTGTTCATAACTGAAGCCAAGAAAAGTGACTGAAATGCAGAAAAAAAACGTTGTATTCAAGAGATTACCTCTTTATTAGATTAAAAAGAGCAAACTCTCCCAAGGTGAGAATTGTCAACATTTAACATCAAGGTTCACATGTTTCAAAGGAGTCCAAGCAAAAAAACTGATTTCAATAGTGATGAACGGAGGTTTACCGTCCCTTTATCTGACACACAATGAATCCGTCTTTGTCTGCTGGATTGGTGTTAGCCTCTCTCTTGTTAATGCACGTCAGCCCACACACATCACACCCAACTGTCCACATTTCTATCTCCACGGCAGACTAAAAACTAATCTACATCTTAACATCTTTCAGGGGATTTTGAGCATCAGTCAGTGATTTCTTAGCGGAAACAAAAAGACTACACATTTACATAACTGCCAGCTAAATAAGCAGCAGGGAGGGAGATGTGTTGAGAGATTGATTGATAATATTACACACCTCCAACTCAAAAACAGGAGTCAGCTCATTTTATAACCATTTGCTTAATATGACCGTCAAACCGCTAATATATCAACAAATCGTCCTTCTCCTCTTACATTAAAGCATTTTCTAGTGCTTTCATATGCGTTTTAACTCTTGGATTAACCTTCATTGCCTCTGCATGAAACCTTCAAAGATTTCACACTCTCTCTGTGAAATAAAAGGAATGTGTCACTGTGATAGTGTGAAATAACTTGTTAATGTGAGCAAGGGGGGCATTTTAGACATTATGTACTATTGCTATAAATTCACAGAGCCTCTTCAGTGGCATTTCAAGTACCCTTCTTATGTTCTGCACTAATATAGGTTCTAAACCCACCTCCATGTCCGGCAGTGGCTCAGTCAGTAGGGGCTTGGACTGTGAGCCGTAGGGTCGCTGGTTCAAGTCCCCGACCAGACCTAAATATGGAGTGTGGACTTCTACTTGGAGAGGTCCCAGTTCACCTCCTGCCCTGCCGTGGTGCCCTTGAGCAAGGCACCGGACACCCCCCTTCCCCCCCACTCCCATTGCTCCCCGGGCGCTGTACAATAGCTGCCCACTGCTCCTAGTACTAGACTCCTTGTACTAGGATGGGTTAAAAGCAGAGGCCAAATTTCACTGTGTGTGCTGTGTGCTCTGCATGTGTGACCATTAAAGAGGGTTTCATCCCTCCCTATTCTATTCTATTCCATGTACCTTACCTGCTACATACATCAACCGAGGACATTCGGTGGGTATTGTCAGACTGAGTTGAACACTTACTGAAGGTTTGCAGAAATAAACACACCTCTCAATGGTAACACAAATGTATCCTCAAGGTTTAAGTATAGTCCTGAAGTCACAACCCTCATAAGAAGACACTTTATTGCTTACAGCCTACTGCCTACAACACATTTTACACTCATTGGTTAATGTATTCTTTTATTTTCTTTCACACACACAATGAAAAAACATTAAATTGAACTTGAAAGGAATATAAAATATGCGTGAGGACTTGGAACAAACGTTTAATATAGAAAATAAAAACACGACATATAGAAGGTAAAGCATTTTCTTTATTATTCGCCACATATTTAATAGTATTGATCCGAAACATAACAAACTTTAGTAAATCATTTTAGTAATTTCTTTATTTATAGTATTGTAAGTTCAATGTTCATGTACACAGACACAGAGGAATCCATTATATGTACATTTTCATTCAACAACACTCAACTTATTATTTAGAAATCATACTAGGAATAAAGATGGTTCGTTTTTAATGTGTTATCAAAAATATATACATTTTCTGTATGACTACAGAGATATTAAACTATATATTTCTTCAGTATTTCCACCAATTTCCACCGTATGGGAGCCCTAATTAAGCTCCATGAACAATATTGAGATGAGAAAAAGGTCACAATGTATCAAATAAAGATTTACAGTATAAGATTATCTTTCTCCATTAATGTTTGTCTTCTTATTAGCCTTTGTTGCTGGAAGGCTGTTATTACTCTTATCTTGTCTTTTACACCTCCTCCTCCTCCTCACTGACGCACCTCTCTGAGCTCTGTCTCTGGCCAAGAAGCGTGCACTCGCCGGCGCGCGCCCCCGCCTCTCCGTCGTAACAGTAAACGGGTGTCGGCGTGAATTTCGCTGAGCGGTGAATGGACATTAATAGGGAATGTTATGTTCTTCTCCCAGTGCCTGCTTTCTTCTGTCATTCAATCTCTGCAACGAAACCCGGGTAAGTTCATGTTTTTGCAGGTGGCACATGTTTTGAGAAACACAGGTTGTCATGCAGTTTCTGAATTCATGCTCTGAATTTGGGAAGTAGTTTCTACTGTAGACAGTCGCTCTATGTGTGCGCATTAGGTTTAATTGATATGATTTAAATATGCATTTGTCATCCTAATTGGCTTTTAAATATTGCACTCATCAATTTGGTCTTTGCACATTTGTAAACCTAACTATTTTAATGCTTATAAAACAGATAAAGTCAGGGCTGGGTGGTCCCATTAACTGCATGTCAATATGTCTAATTGTCTAACTGTTTTTATTCATAATTACAGGGGGACATTTGAATCGTAATAGAGAAAAAAGAGACGCATTAAGCTGTTAGTAATAAAGAGCTATATATATTGGCTGATATTGCCAGGATCAGACCGGGCTCATCCTGGCTCAGGAGGGAATCATGATCAGTAGTCCTTTTTTTTCCTGAAGGTTCAATCTGAAAGCAAAGGCTATAGTGTCGCATGTGTGTTTGCACATTCCCAGTATGTCCACATACGGTATCTGCTTGAAATGAACTTCATACACGGATTAGACTTTATTAAAAGTAAGCAAAGGTACATGCTGGAATTCTCCTGGGCATCTGTGGGAATGGTTATTTGCCCAGCAGCAGGTCCACAACAGATGGAATATCAAACCCACAACATTATGTGGGATCAAAAAGGATGGTGTGGCGGTAGAGATTATAGCATTGCATGTGAGGGGCGTGTGTGCGCATGTTGCAGTGTTTGTGCAGGATCCAGTTGGACCTGGTTGATGATGAAGAGAATGGTGAGTGACTTGCATGTGATTCCAAGGACAGTTCATGGAAATTGCGGGCTGAATGCAATCTCTGTTCTTTAGCATCAAAGTGGGGCACACTGCACTCCTATCCACCTCAACCCTTTCTACCTACCAACATAAAGGATACACGCATTGGCACTGCCCAATGATATTGGATATAAACATTGACATAACTCCCATGACACTGTGCTGGTTCATGCATGCCAAATATGCAAAGTAATGTAAATGTATTTTCAATAAAGCCAGCAATTGCATTGCGTTGAAGGACATTATTATTGAGGACCCTATCATATAATGGCTTGAAATATTGGAATGAAGGTCCTCACACTTGGTTCTTTTTCTGGCAGATGAGACACATTTCCCTGCGGTACTTAATTACAGTCAGGGAGTTATGTTGGAAATAAAAATAATGGACAGCAGTGATAGAGGGTAGCAGAGTCAAACCAAGGACACATGGCCTGATTTGAGGCCAGGAGCATTCAGTGTAGCTCATCCTGTAGCACCCTGCCAAGTGGGCTTTTATATGGGGATCCACCAATCCACTTTCCCTCTGATGATACTTGACTATTGACTGATAGGGAGTACCGATCCAATACCAGTGGTTCTTTATTTCTCCATTTGACTGGATTTACCGCATCATCCTATTTGTTTCATTTAGCTACTCACAACTTCTTAACTATAATTTGAGTCGTCATTGCTGGTGCCAACACCATCCATGATTTATATTCAAGGCAACTGTAGAGACAAGGAGAGGACACAGATGTGCCTTAACTATTATGATGAATGCCTTTGCCTTTTCCTATTTGTATTCAAAGGTTTTATATTGTTTCCTTGTTTATTCTTGCTTCTGCACCTTCTTTCCTTTAAAGGACTTCAAAAGCATATTATCTCCTAGGCTGACACATTTGATGACAGCCAATTGCAATGAAACAATATTAGTGGCAGTTTCAAAGACAGGCATTTGCAAGCTAACATTTTACATCCTACTAAACTGAACCACCTTTGGACTTTTTATAGTGATAATAGCCTTTATTAACCGATTTTCTTAAATATTAGTGCTTTAAAAGGAAACAAACATATAAAAGACCTAAAGAATAGAGACAAAAAGAAACAATAACGACAATCATGAAACGCAATGAGAACAAAAGACGTTTATAGGCTGTGAATGAAAATAAAAAAGCAAGGACACAACAGTAAACACAGATTCACATCCACATAAGCGTTCAACTTCAAATCCCCAAGAGTTGATTATGGTCTTCCAGGTGAGGAAAGATTTAAGAAGAAGACCTTTACTTCAGAAACTTTCAATGTGAAGGTTGATCTCCAAACTTTCTTTATTGGTTTACAACCCTTGAAAGCCAGCTGGCAAACACAAAGCTGTAGCTGAGCCAATTTGAATGTGTAGAGGACATGGTGGCTTCATTTTAAAATGATGTTAAACAAGTGTGTCCTCTATCTTTCTTTTTTTGCAGGAGATGTGCTGGTTGCATTTGTTTTGTTTACAGCCTGGTGGATCTAAGTGGTGAACTGAAAGTGTATTGATCTGAAATAAAAGGGTTATAATAGCTGCAGTTTGCGGCTGGTATCAGCACCATCATTTTAATTAGGCCCACTGTTTCTGTTTTTATACAGCTCGTTTTCCTAACAGCTATCTGTACTTCCGATAAAATCATAATTCAACCAACCTCAATATAGAGGACTTCATGTTCTCTGGATTTAAGGGTTTATTTTCTGGTGTTTACTCTTTTATTTCAGTCTGTCCTTTTCTGTGACAGAGCATTCTTTGCCTAGCAATGTAATTTCATTAGGACAAAAGCAATTTGTTTGGCTGAAACAAAACAAAAATCTTGTAGGCCTATCACGTAAATTAGATTGATTAAACAAGTAACTTTTCTTGTTAAAAATGTTGGCTTGTTAGCTTTTAGAAAAGCTCTCGGTGTCCTTCTGTTTTCCCCTGGCTACTCAAAAAGCCCAGACAGATCCATCTGATCTGGTCCAGCTTTTCACTGACATGTCACAGAGGCGAAAGCTTCACTCAAAATATGTCTGGATATATCCAAGAACACGATGAAAAATATCCTTTTTTGTGCTCTCTTGTCCTAATGTGTCTGCCAGCACTGCCTATTTTAAAAGTAGCTGTGAAAATGATTCTCTGCTACCTTTAAAAGCCCATAGCCTTCAGGAATCAATGTTTAATTAATTGTTACCAATCCATGACAGAAGAAGATTCAAATGATAGGTTTTCATGCAGACATTAGCTGCCAGAAGTATGCAAATGCAAGACAGCTCTCATTGTTTCTTCATGGATCTTTGAAGACATCAGAAGGGCCTTCAAATCCAGCAGGCATAGAAAGAACATACCGGCACTATACCTTAGGGATTTTCTGTTTGTGTGTCTGCATGTGTTCTGGAGGCATTACGCAGAGCAACAGAGTGAGAGACCTTGTATAGGTGAACGACTGCCTCAATTTGACAGACCTGTAGGGGCTACATTTAATAGAGTGGTCCCTGCCTGACAGATGCTCTCCCCGTGGCTCTTACAGGAAATTGACTCCTAATGGAACAAGAGTAAAAGCCTAAAACCATGCTTGCTACACCCAAAGGTTGCAATGTGCATTTAATTCCACAGGATGATTATTTGTTGGAATGAGCCACATACTGTAGTTACATTCCCATCTGTCTTACAGCTTTACCTGGGGCTAAAGATAATACTTGAACTTCTATCACCACAACTGAAGGTGAATTGAATCGCCCCTCATCAATTGGTGATGTCAAACATTTCCAGTCCCTAAGTCCAAATATTGTTTGTCCGCAAGAAAAAAAATTGTATAAGGTTTTGGCACTTAAGAAATTGTTTGAGAGATCTCATGTGTTTATTTTTTCGTAAATCTCAAGGGAAATTTGAGTGATTTTGAAGATCTTATGGAGGGAGAAAAAGCAATGCTACATGTTATGGTATATTTTTGTTCAAAGTACAACCCTTACAAATATAATAGGTCTGATGACTTTGCACTTGTGTTTTAATTGATCCCCTTCAACTGATGGAAGTATGGGTATGCATTTCAATGTGATGTTATCGTGCACCGCATTCAGCAGCGCCCTCTTCCATCACATGTGCCGATAATTGGCCATCATCCCATTAACTAAGATACAAACATGTACATGCTCATTGCAATCGTATTATATATGAAGCAGCAGAGGCAAAACAGATGGTTTATAACTTTTTAAAACCTGCTAGTTTTTACAACATTTTGGGATGTAGCTTGATTTAGCATTCTAATTAAAGAGTTGAAAGATAATCTTCATTATTTTTTGGATGTTCCTATTATATATTAGTTGTTGCATTTCAACCCATAACTTTGTACACCTTGAATGCTCAAACTTTGTAATTACCTTTATTCTTTACTCAACATTATGGCTAGCACACTAATTACATTGTAGGTTATGACAACCACACAGATTTATTTGGCATATTAATGGGTACTGTTAGCTTAGGAAATGGTAATACGTTAGTTTCTATTTGCATATGTCATGTCAATTACAGCCGGAGGAGAACATTTTATTCCCATTATTTCCCGTAAATTACTATCGAAGTACAATATTTGTTTTACCAATCTATCCATTCTGACATACCCATGAGGATTTTGTCACCGCCTGTGCTCCTTTCATAATAAAATGACCCAGAGGGCTTTGTCACTTTTGCCACAGGTAATCATACTGTGTGTTTTTAAGGCACCTGCTGAAATAAGTGGTGCTGTCTTTCTTCTTGGGAGCTCTCAGTCCAATAGAAACTGATGTTTCTTAAGGCTTTATCTCTGTATTATAATCACCAACTCTGTCACTTAATTAAACCCAGTAATCAGTGGTTCCACAGCCTTATACAGCTCATGTCTCCATGCCATAGCAGTCCATTGATTTCAAATGTAACACCCCGTAATTATCAACATGTTCAAGCTGCTAGCAAAGATAAACAGTGGAGTTTGTGTCCTCTATATTTACATGCTGCAATTTCTCGCCCATCTGTCAAGTTCTGATACATTTATTAAAAATAAATTATTACCAGAAACAAAAAGCATGTGGATTATGGATACATTTACTGTATCTGCGGCTTTTGAAGGTCAAACCAACTGACCTACCATCAATCACCATCCTTAAAGCTGCGTTGCTATTTGC